GATCTCTGTGAGTTCGAGGCCAGCCTGGGCTACCAAGTGAGCTCCAGGAAAGGCGCAAAGCAACACAGAGAAACCCTGTCTCGAAAAACCAAAAAAAAAAAAAAAAAAAAAAAAAAAAAAAAAAAATGAACATCACGCCCTTCATACATACGAAAGAATTAGGACTTCTGGTTTCATGGTGCTTAAAAATGTCCCCACATCCCCCTTCAAATCCAGACAAGTCCCCATCCATATCCGTCCTTTTCTCTGTCCTTCTTCAAGCATATACATGAGAAGTGATGTAAAAGATAATGGGTTTACTTTTATTCTTCATTATTTGTCTGTGGTTGCCAATGTTGTCATACTATGTTGTCTGGGATTTATCATAAAAAAGCATGAAAGTCTTAATAAAATTTATTGCCAATAATTTTTGGAGATTTATTAGGGAGCTAATTATAATTTACCACTATTTATAGGGAAAAACATAATCCAAGTTCCAAGGGTTCAGCATACAAATGAACAGAACTCATGTGAAAGCTGAGGGCTGTCTTCTGTGTCTTGTTATGGAGTAGTTTCTCCAAGAAGCTATGAAGGGATGCAGGATAAGGATTTCTACCTAGGTGGCAAAGGGAGTGTTAGGATCCTGTTCACTGTGGAATGCTTTCAATTTTCCTCTTCTATCTCTTTTTATAATACTTAAGACTTCCTTTATTTTAGAATATATAATTTTGAAGCTCAGAAGTACCTTGAAAGTGAACCAAAATTTGGGAGAACATCAGTAGAGAGTTTGCATAGAGTAACAAAATTTAAATTTTGGACTTGTTTTTATAGTTTTTGGAAGAGTCTCTGTTCTACCTACCCCCCAACCCCTTCATCCCTGATTATAAAAGAAAAGACTTTTTTTTTTTTTTTTTTTTTTTTTTTGGAGACAGGGTTTCTCTTTGTAGCTTTGGAGCCTTTCCTGGAACTCACTCTGTAGCCCAGGCTGGCCTTGAACTCACAGAGATCCGCCTGCCTCTGCTTCCCGAGTGCTGGGATTAAAGCCGCCGCCGCCGCCGCCGCCGCCACCGCCACCACCACCCAGCTTAAGAAAAGACTTCTTAAAAGTCAATATAATGTGTCTTTTTGTAGGTGAAGGCTCTAAATTAATAAGCCTTAGCCTTAGACAGAATCAAGTAGCACCTAGAACGTGTGTAGGTGTAGGTGCAGGTCCATTGGTTTTCTGCCCACAGATTCTGATTATGTACCAGAGTCAAGACAAAATTCCTGCCGGCGCCCAAGGAATAAGGACAGAAGATTTTCTGTCTAAGCCATTACTGAACTTGAGCCAGGCCATTCATTGTCGTGGGAATGTGATTTCCAGTGCCCTGTAGGATGCTGAGCAGGATCCTACCCCTGGCCTCTCTCTGTGCACCAGATGTTGGTAACATCCACTGCCACATTAGGACCACCTAACATGTCTCCAGAGACAGTCAAATGTCTCCCTGGGGGCAAAATCATCTCCCTGGTTGAGAGCAGTGACAGAAGCTGCCCAAAGATAACACATTTTGAGAAATGCCATTTGTAAAAGAGTTAAAGCAACACGAAAGAAGTAGAGAAATTCAGATATGTACAAGCTTCCATTATATAAATTGAAATAAACAGGCTTCCTCCAAAGGAAATCTGATTAGCTTTATAAACTCCTGACAACTCAGCTAAGCTTCTAAGTCAGAGCTCTCCTTACGCAGTTTCAACTTGAAGAGCCTCTCCCTCGCTCCTATTTTAGATTATTTTTAATTAACTTCACTGGCATTTTGCATCCTGCTATGAAAAGTCCGCCTAATAGTCTCAGAGGACTCTCCCTAGAGAGGAGAGTACATTAAATCACACATTATCACATTAAAGTATATACCAGCATTGAGTCCAATGGTCTAGTCTTGGCAAGTGCAGTCGGGTGGGGGTTGGGGTGGAAGCAGACTCAAGTGATTCACAATATCCAGAGCCTATTAACTTCTGCGCATCTGCCCCATGTGAAAGGGTTGTATTGATTCTCAACTTCAACCACATTTATCACAATGGCATACACTTTACAATCTGTGCTCCACCTGATTTCTTGTTCATCTCTGTATGTGGGACAATCGCTGTATGGAGCAAGCCCCTTAGATGCCTTGGAAGACCTTTCCCTCCCCTATAAATAAACAGACTGGAATAAATTATTCCTAAAGATTCTGTTAGGTATAAATCACAAACTTATGAATGAAGCGCTTTGAATTAAAAGGTTCTTTCAGTTACAATACTGCATGATAACAGAAAGCATTCAGATGCTTAATCAAAAAGAAAACGAAATGGCAGTGAGAGGAATCATACATACAAACCCATTTTCTCTTAAAACAAGAACAAGTCTGGCCAAATTTCCTTTCACCTACTAAGGCATTTTACAGGAATTTTGCATGGGAACACAACTCAAGATTTCAGAAGCTAGTCATAAACAGGAAAATCATTTTAAAACACGTTAACTTTCTGTTTTCAAAATCAGAGGTCATATCCAGTCTCCAGGTACAGTTGTTACTTTATCACAACCAAATAAACGAAACCACTCAATTAGTTCCTATAAAATAATGAAACAATACACACGAGCCTCTAGATTTCCAGTAGCCCTAGAGACATCAGAAGATAGGAACCACATAGCAGTCCTTAGTTGGAACTAAGCAGGGTTATCCCCGAGCCCACAAACTCTCCTAGTCCCTGAATCCTACTGCCACATTGTCTGCCACCTGTCCTGGTTCCCACTTACAGCATGCAAGTCCCTTACTCTGTACCACCTGTTAGCACATACCAGGAAGAGTTCTGGTATCTACAATGCTTTCAAAGCAATAGAAAAGCTCTCAGAAGCACAGCAGAAAAGTACAAGTTAGGGTCTGTCCTCTCAGTAAAGACAACCTTTCTAGCTCTATGCTGAAAAGTACAGTGGGTTACTCTGTTAAATTTCCAAACACCATCTTAAAGGACATAAAACTGATTCCAAATATGATTGGGGGTTTAAACCAGATAAAAATCCCTAAAATTACTTCCAACTTTTAAGAGTTATTCCTTGGGTTAATTTAATGGATAGTTCATTTTGCAACACACTGATGTTCCATATATGACCACAGTGCATATAACATGTATGCTTAACTCTGCAGAAGACATGTTTTTTTTTACAAAATTATCTTCTGTGTATGTCCCTAAAGTATTATATTTTTCTCACTAAATTCAATGTACGGAATTTGAAGACAAAGTCTCAAATAACTGAACATCCTACCATGCTTAGACACCATGTTTTGTTCTTTAGAAAGGATAACGAAGAACCCAGTGATGGGGAAGAAGGTAGGAAAATGGGGAGAAGGTTCATTTTCAGATACAGCAGGACACTGGTTTTCCATAGAGAGAATGTGCATGTTGTATATAGTCAGCATTTAACCTCAGGCCCGTTTAGATGCCTTGCTTCTTGTACTCAGATCACGTGATGCTGAGCAGCTTTGTACTGCACAGGTGTACTAGGTGATCACGGCAAGTTCTTCTAGCGGATTTAAGATATCCGTAGCACTAACACTGAAAACTGTGCGTATTAACTATTTCCAAATGAAATTGCTTTCTTTGGGTGTTTCATGTTGATTTTTGGTATGAGCATTGTTGAACAATAGTGATTAATGGCTCAAGTGGGAGTATAAACAGCCTATCAGTGAGTCCCTGTGACTACTGAGGGCATGCCTAATGACAGCGAAGTGACTGTGTTGACAATACAATGTGTGTAAAATGGGCTGCTTCTGAGAAAACATATGTTGATCATTTTTAGTTCCTTGCTTTTCTGCAGCTAATCATTTGAATTCTCTCTGTTTAGGAAAAGAAATGAGTCATTCTTCTAAAACAAAATGATAAACATAACTCAATTTAACAGCCCCAGATGCCAGAACATTTCAATTTAAGCATGGAGGTTTTCTGCTTTTATCTACTATGGCTAGAACACCAACTTCTTTTCCACTCTTAATTTTCTGAAAAACAAAACAACAGAAAACTTAAGACAATATATATTGGAGTCCTGGAGGGAGGGGCAGATTTTAGATATGGTAAAAATCCAGAGGATACAGTTTTGGAGACCTGGGAAGTTAACTGGTGCATGCCAGTCAGAGCTCTCCTCATTCCAATTGTCCTTACAGGAAGAGGTAAGAGAAATGAAAGTCTGGTTCTGCCACCAGTGAGCAACTGAAGTATATAACCTTCAAAGAAGGCACAGAGTTTTAAAATGTTGTGGAAGTTCCCCAGGAGCAAAAATACTGTTTTCCCTTTGCAAGAACACAGAAGAGCTAATTCATCCCTGGAACACTATTCTTTTAAAACATGTTTATTTCAAAACAAAAGTTATTGAAAACATATGCAGGAGCCATTCCAAAAGTAAGTGGTCCCAGAAACCTGGTTAATCTGGTGGCAGAGTATACCCCCACAAGAACCAGAAAGATGAGAAGAGCTCATGCTTGTTCAGAGAGCAGAGACAACCCTGCATGAGAAAATGACATAAGAACTTAAAAGAACTAGACAAGGGTTCGAGACCTCACCCCTACTCCCACCTCCCTACCTCCACCCCAAGAAGCAGCCTAAGAAACACAGAGACAGAAGGTTGAAGTCATCTAGTCATCTTGTTTCTCCCAAGGAAGGGGGAGTGGAGGGACCAGGGACCCCGCCCTCCTACCCGGTTGTTGATCTGGGGCAGGGATCCTTGGGCAAACTCGTTTAAGTAACATGAAGTGTGCAAAAGTTCACAACTACGAGGCTGGACCCCATCTTCAGAGCGCCACCACTACCGCCACCACCCCGTCCCTAGGTGTGCAACCACAGCCCAGAAGCTCGCAGTTTGCGAGAGCTCACTCACCCAGGGCCGGGGAGCCCAGCCGGCCGCCGCCCGCCTCGGCCGCGCACTGCTGCCCCGCGGGCCCGGGAGCGAGAGCTTCGCCCGCCCCGGACATGGGCTCCGAGCCCGCGCCGCGCCGCCGTCTGCAGCCGCCCGCGGGGCGCACGGACCCCGGCTGCTTAGGTGTTGGGTGCAGGAAACTGACTCCTTCTGGCGGGAAAAGCAAAAGGGACACCAGGACGAACTGTTTTTAGAGAGCAGCACGCTGCCGCGCCGGGCCATGCCCTCCCCCTCCGCGTCCCTCCTCCAACTCCACCCCGGGGAAGTTAGGATTTGAAAGCAGCGAAGGGGAAGGTGCGAGCGGGACGCGCGGGGCGGGAGGGGACCCGAACCCCCTCCCCCGACGCGCAGCCTCCACTTACTTCAGCATCGCCCCCGGTCCTGGCCGATCCGAGCCCCTTCCTCCCGCCGCCAGCAGTCAGCGAGGCTAGGGCAGCGGCCCCATCGCGTCCGGGCCGCCTGACGACTTCCCGCCGCCCGGGGCTCAAGCCAGACGTCCCAGTGGCCGCGACAGTGGCAGCCGCCGACTGCGCACTCCGCCCCCTCCCTCCAGCCAGCTCACTCGGGCCAGCCCCGCTCTGGGAGGACTTCAGGATCCACTTGTGCCTCTCGTTCACCCTCAAGCTGCCACTCCTACAATCTTCAAACACTTCTCTCTCTGTGGCTCCCTTTCATCATATCCGGATTGGGGTGGCCTCGAACTCTTGGCAGACAGCCCCGTGGCTGGGGGCGGCTCGACCTGGGTTTGGCCCTGCTCTCCCTTGTGGAGGGAGCTGTCTGGGTCAGGAGGCCAAAGCTGGACAGGCCTGAGGCAGGCTCTCCACTTCAGGCCCAAAGTGGTTTGGGAAAACAGGGAGGGAGCTGGCCTTGGCAGTTCTGAAGTCCCCAGGCAATTCGAGGAAAGTTCCCCCATTTTCAATCTGGCCCATCAAAGAACTATTAAATCTAAAGGAATGCCCCAGGGAAACAACCTTTAAAACCAAGGGGAGGGTGTGTGTGTGTGTGTGTGTGTGTGTGTGTGTGTGTGTGTGTGTGTGTGTGTTATGTGTGTGTGTGTGTGTGGTGTGCTTGCACACAACATGCTCTGACGTTCCTGATAATATGAGCACATATGTATTTAATACCTTGTTCCCAGGGTCTTGTTTAATCTCTTCATCTTCACGTTATTTTTGGCTTCTTTGCTTCAGTCAAACAGGATTCCTGATCTGGTAAAACCAGTTTCAGTTAGACACAGCCACTGACAGCACTCAGGTGTGCAAGGTTAACTTGAGAACTGCCTGTCCTACTCCTGGACGAATGCTTCCTTGAACCTACGTCCTCTGTGAAAAGTTACTGTGGTCACCAGTAAGAAGCTCATCAGCTGTGGGTGTTTAAATGAAATGTTCTGATTGTAGCAGACTCTAAAGGGCCAACAAGAAGGGTAATTAAAGCACTTTAATAAACCTGGCTAATGTTTGTTTTTCCCTTGAGTGAAATGCAGAATTCAGTTGAGCAACTCTCAAAAGAGCCCACCTGTGGATGGCCTGGCTAGGACAAGAGGAGTCCTCAGTGTTACCAAAACTGAAGGCACTTCACCTTCTCTCCAGCCCTGGCATTACTAAGACACCGGGAATGTTGTCTTCAAAAAATGACAACTTAACGACTTTTCAATGGACTGAAGAGATCTGTTTCTCGCCTGCAAAGAACCAGTGTGTTCAAAGTTGCATTCAATTACCCTGAGAAATCAGCCTTCAGAGGTTTGGATTATGCTCCCAGAAAGATAAATGGCATTTTACTCAATGACCTATAGCTAACAGGAATGCCCCCCTCTTTTAATTCAGTTTGGAGATTCATAGATGGTACTGTAAAAGGTGCCTTAACTCTCTTGAGAGTGTATCAAGGGTCTAGACTACATGGAATCTATTTGTTGGGAGCAGGTCAGTTGTGAGCAAGCGAACACCAGCATTAAAGAAAATACGGGGAACTTGATCTCTCCACAGTATAATCTTTAATTACTAGAGTTAGTGAAAAAGTTCTAGAAAGATCTTCTTTATCCCCTTACTGTTTATCTCCTTGTTCAGTTTTGGAGAAGTTACAGCTTGCTTATACAAAGTTATGATTTCTTTTTCTTTTTTTCCTTTGGTTGAGCAGTCATGTGTGCCATGGTGCCCCTGTGGAAGTCAGAGGATGGCCTAGGGTTTCTGATCTTTTCTTCCACCTTCTATGAAACTGGCTGCATACACCAGGCTAGCTGACTCTTAAACTCGCAGCTATTTTGATGTCTTTAACGCCCTTCTTCCTGCAGGAATGCCAGAATTGCAGGCTACACGTCTCAGTCTCCATCCTCAGCCCTTCCCACCTGCACACAAGCCCTTCTCCCACAGAACCATCTCTGCAACACATATTTGTTCATTGAATTGCACACCGTATTTCATTTTTACACACGGCATACAATACCTAACTTTGCTAGTAAGATGAGCACTTGAAATCTTGATCCCCCTTCACCACTCCTTGAACTAAATATAAGCAGCTTAACTCTTGTGGAGAAGAAATAAGGTTCAAATAAAAATATTAGGAACAGCCAGGCGGTGGTGGTGCACGCCTTTAATCCCAGCACTCGGGAGGCAGAGGCAGACGGATCTCTGTGAGTTTGAGGCCAGCCTGGGCTACCAAGTGAGTTCCAGGAAAGGCGCAAAGCTACACAGAGAAACCCTGTCTCGAAAAACAAAAACAAAAACAAAAACAAAAACAAAATATTAGGAACAAATGGACAACTGTTTTAGTGTCACCAAGTTGGTCAAAGGCTGCATCTTGGTCTTGTGTGACTCTGAGTGTGTCAGTCATATACTCTGTGCTCTGGTTGCCTCATAAAGGGAGAAAATAAGAGAAAGTATTTTGAGTTTCTTCATGAAGACTCAGTAAGGTGTATCATATCCCTATCCCAGTTGGGGATATGGCAAATGGTTAAAATGGTTAACTATTACTATCATAGAAGAGAGTAGAATAATCAGTAGCAGAGGGTGGGTGAGGAAGGAAATGGAGAAAGGCTAGCTAGTGGGTACAGGAGTATGTCTACGCAGGGGTAATAACTTTAGAAACTATATATCACACTAAATAGGGTTGACAACAATTACTTGTATACTTAAAATAACGCATACAGAGGATTTTACAAAATAAAGGAATGATAAATGCACAACTACTATGCATTAATTAAAAACAAACAGTTTCAATATTAATGCACCTTTGCGGTGCAGCAAAAGCATTCATTTTCCTGAAAAAATGGAGCGTGAGGTATTGACTATCACCAGGGCCACATCAAAATAATGGGTGATATTCTGAGGCTCAGTTGGTGAGTTCAATCACCAGAATTCTAGTTAAAACGCCAGGCGTGATGGCATGCACTTATAATCCCAGTGCTATGGAAAGGAGAGATCAGACTGCAGGGCCTAATTACAGGAGATCCAGGCCAGGGAGCGACCCTGGCTCAAAACCAGGGGTAAAAATAGCAGATGTGGCCTCTGAACGCTGTTTTCCATACACCTACACACTCAATGCAATTATGTCATGTACTTTACACATGTTATACCAATGAATTCTTACACTAGCCTTGCTGGGGTCCAAGCTCAGGTTTGTGAACTCCAGGCCTCTCTCTGGGCATCATGCCATGAACCCAGTGTCTGCTGCGTCGGGAATTAAGTGTGTGTTCCTGACCACTCCCCAGGTTTCCCTCTCCTCTCTTTTTGCTGCATTAGCTTGGCTCCTGGTGAGCAAGCCAGTGCCCATGTCTCAGTCTCTCATTCCATGTCACAGGGTGTTTGTCTCCCTTGCAATTCATATGTTGACATCCTAATTCCTAGTGTGACAGTATTAGCAGAAGTAATTAGGTCATGACACTAGTAGTTTGTTTTCTCATAGCAGTACATAAGCACATCCAGAGCCTCCCTTTCTAGTGCCTAGATGATTAGCATTCATCGGAAGAAACTGGGGAGAACACAGACATTCAGACCACGCCATGGGCTTGCACTATAGAAATCATTATTTTAATACATATGTGTATGTGGGGTGTAGGGGGTGTGCATTCACATGCCAGAAAAGCAGGGTGGAGGTCACAGACTTCCTTCCACCCTGTGGGGTCATAGAATGAAATTCAGGTGTCAGGCTCAGTGGCAACACCTTTTAGCTCCTGAGCCATCTCACTGGCCTTAAATTGTTTTTGTTTTTGTTTTTGTTTTTAAAAAAAAAAAAACACCAAGGTGTGCTGTATAAAATAATTTGGAAGCACTGGGATGCTCAATTATGAGATCAGAAATAATACTGATGATAAGAATGAAGCCAAAGAATTGGAGGTGAAGATGAAGACCAGAGGAATAAAGGATTCTGTGTCTAAGGGGTTGTAAGCAACACAACACCTACAGTAATAAAACCATCCAGAGAAACAGGCCATGTGAATGACATTGGCCCTACAAGGCATTCAGGGGGAACCTTGCACCAGGCTGCTGGATGTGCATCTGGAATACTAGCACACTGCTGGTGCTTTACTAGCTGGGTGGTTACAAGAGTGCCCACGGTTAGTATGCAGACTCATGCCATAGGGCCTACATAGCTATGCTCTCAATTCAAATGTGTCCCTGCTGGCTTGTCTGATTCACCACCCCCTTCATATTTCCTGGCTTAGAAAATGACAAGTAGCTGGCACCTCTGATGCCAGGACCCCACTGGCTATTCTAAATATCTCTGGTTGATCCTCAGGCCTGAGTCTTCCATGTTGTACCACACAGTAATCTAAATGAGTAGAAACATTCTGGGGAGGCCAGCCTTCCAGTAAAAAAAGAACACCTTAATCCGAGATCAAAGCCCCCTGCCATAGACATCCTAGTGTGCCCTGTAACCATTCTTCATGAGCGATGCAAAAATTATGATGATATAAGTACACATGTGAAAAGGCATTCTTGGGTTAGGACAATGACATTATGAAGCATCCTGTGGACTACTTAATCCTCATCATTTATTCATTACGTATTCATGAGGCATTTCTCAAGCACCTAGGTTTTATGTTAGTCTTTGAAAATGAATTTGATGTTTGAAAATCATCTTTTGCCTGTGCAGAGTTTTGTCTGCCCACCTAACATCAAAGTTAACTCCCTCATATATCTATCTGAACCAGAGTTCTATATATAGGGTATTTTACTTGTGTATGTATGCCAATGGAGTGCAATTCAAGCAGAAAATATTAAAATGAGCATGTATGCTTGTTTTCACATAATTATATATTTAGTATTATAGGATACAAGACATACTATAAGCACTTGTATATAATTTATAAATTAAGATACACTGAAGGTTCATACTCAAATATTTCATCAGTTGCTTTTTAAAAGCAAGTGGATTTGGGCCAGTAAGATGGCTCAGCGGGTCAAAACATCTACCAGGTAGCCCTAATGACCTGAGTCTAGGACTCAAAGTGGAGGGAGAGAATTGACTCCTGAAAGTTGTATCTTACCTCTACATGACATGTGTGTGGAG